GAGCACAAAACACAGCACAGAATTAAGCAACAGCCAGTGTGGTTGTACAGAGGGTAAATCATGCCTGAGCAACCTCACTGCATCCTGTACAAGATTACATAGAAGTGAAAAAATTGAGGGCAGTGATTGCTATGTGATTAGATTTCTGCCTGCTGCATAGCCCCCTCGCAACCAAAAGGGTGAGTTATGGCGTGGGTTAATGCATAATTATGTAAGTAGAAATCCAGATGATATGCTGGGCTCAAACTGCTATGACTACTGTTCAGAGTGCAGCTGGGGACAAGAATCTATTAAGGAGTCTCTCAGGGATCAGTGCTGCACCTGTAGTCTTCAGCTTTCCATTAATGCTCTCCATGACTGGACAAGGTGCACTATAAGCATGTTTGTGGAGGATCCCTGACTGAGAAGAGCTGTCAGGACCTCGTAAAATAAGATGAGAGAAAAGGAGAGCCAGACAAGAAGCATACAGGGACAGACATCAAAGGAGTACTTGGAAATGATGGGAAGAAATAAATCTCACCATTCACACCAGCTGATGAGGTATTGAGAAACCACCGGGCCACTTCCAGGAAGACAAGCCTGGCCTTTGCAGGAGATGCAGCTGTGAATCAGGACATGGATGGGGATTGGTGTGAGACATACCTACAGAATTGCTAGTTGGAACATTCAGAGAAAGAGATGAACATATAAGGAGTGCCAGAGTGGCATAAAGCAAGGAACCTCTCAATACCTGTTTGAGCCACGTGACTCATCATCACAGTCTGTCCTGTCCTCTTAATGAATCTTTTCTTAACTCTGCAGCACCTCACTCTGTCCTGTGCACACCGGATGGATAAATTAGCACTTAACTGGGGAGAGTGGCATGAGTGGTTTTGGTGCCAAATCGGGGAGTCATACTGGGGCAGAAGATGTCCCTGACATGTCCTGTGTGCTGCTACAAGAAGAGGGGTCCATGATTCTCTAATGGAACAGGGGTGGTTTTTGAGCCACAACCAAATGTGGCAGGGGCAGTTTCTATCCCCATAACCACCCGGATGTACTGCCAAGGGTGAAAGAGATATGGGGTTTAGCATGTGCAGCTGGATTCGGTTTGAATCCTCCAAAAACGAGATTTTATGGTGAGGATGTCTCTGAGATACGGGCTCAGCTTTCGATCCGGTTGAACACTGTCTGGGACACTGTAACCGTGCTTCCATGCTCCCTCTCAGGTTCTCCCACACATTCAAAGCCTGATGGTCCAATTTCCCAGCCGCCCTTCTCGGCCCCGCTGCCGGCCTTTCTTCGGCTTCTCGAGCGGCGACATCAGCACCATGGGCAGCAGCAGCCTGCGGGACCCGGGGCTCGGGGAGCTCTAGGAGTGCCGCGTTCCCGGGCAGCAGCACACGACCCGTTCCCGCTGCCGGGCTTCGGATCTGCGGCATCACCAGGCACAGCGGGGGGAACAGGTCTCGGCCGCGTTACACTCACCGACCATTCCAGTCCCGTCTGTGATACCGCTTGCCCCACTCGCTGGGGACACCGAAGGCGAGCAGCTGCTTTCTCCTGTACTGAAGGGGTTTTCGCAGCAGTTCCTCAGCTCTCCGCCTACGCTGCAGGACACGCAGAGCCCAAACCCCGCTACCCGCACACAGGCGCCCAGCACCCGCATCCCGGAGCAAGCCCGAGTGACGCCGGCGCAGGGCGCAGCCCCTTCGGGCGGAGCTGGCGGCGGCGGGGAGGAGGCGCCGCGGGCGGAACAGAACCGGGGCTGGAAGGGGAAGCGCGTCGGCATGCGGGCGGCGGAGCGGCGGGATGCGGCAGTGCCGGGCCGCGGGGCTGGCGGGGCTGGCCGCGGTGCTCCTGGGTGCGCGGGGCTGCCGCCGGCGGGGATGGACTGAGGGAGGGGGCAGCGGGGGCCGGAGCCGCGCACGCCTCTGGCCGTCCGAGTTCTTTCCAATCTCGTGCCCCAACCCCTCTCAGCTGCATTCATTCCGGCTGTCTCCAGAGATCTCTGTCCACCTTTTCCACCCCTCTTCCCTTCCTTTCTGAACTGCTGCGTTCACTGGGAATCCCCTTCCTACACTGCTGCATCCTGCACAGCTTTTTCCTCTCAGTCGCTTTTAAACCTGCTTTGGATCTGATCTGACATTTCCTGTTGGAGCAATTGAATTTTCTGAGTTGGATCTTCTTTTCTTCCCCGCAGCGACTGTGAGCAGAGCTCAGGTGCAGCAGGAGCCATCCGTAGAGACCAGCGAGGGCACCGGCATCAACATCACCTGCTCACACCCCAACATACAGTCCAACGACTACATCCACTGGTACCGTCAGCTCCCTGGCCGAGGACCCGCATTCATCGCGAGTGCCTTGAAGGAGTCGAAGAACGTGCGCGACCCGGAGGGGCAGGTGTTTGTGTCGGCAGACCGCCGCTCCAGCGCCCTGTGGCTCGCCCGGCCCCGGCTCGGCGACGCGGCCGTGTATTACTGCGCCGTGAACCCACGGGGAGCGAAGCCGGGGCTGCGGACGGGCACGAACCGCTTTGGGCGGGGCGGGGGCACAGTGCCGTCTGGGCCCGCAGGGGGCGCTGCCGCTCCTCCCTCCCGGCCCCGCCCGAGCTGCCATTGCTGACATGGAACGTGTCCCTCGCACTGCTCGGCTTCCTTCTCAGTGAGACGTTCCAGCTGCACACCTTCACGAGCACGGCATGTCGAGGTCACAGACACTTTCAAGCGGTCCCCACAGTAGCTCTGTTCTCAGACTACGAGATTCTGTGACGAGACTGTGTGAGGGGATTCAGGGCCTCTAGCAGTGAGGTGCAGTTTCAGCAAAGGCCACTGTAAGCTGTGTTTCCTGTGAGGGCTACTGCCTCATCTGTGGATCAAATCACTATTCAGCTTAAAGGGAAGGGCTATTTAGGGGGAAACTGATAAACAAAGCACAGAATGACCGCAATCAGTAATCAAAAAGGGAGACAGGAAGGAGGTCCAGAACTCTTCAGCTCCTAACTGATGGACATATACATGTATGACATAAAATGCAGACGTTTTAATGAATGTTTAGGGAAAGGTCAAAGGTGTGACAGAAAGGGTTGTAGGAAGGAACAAGGGGATGCAGTGCAGAGCAGAGAGGACACAAATTTCCACTCAGTACACCTACTGGGATGAGCCCTATGCCTGAGCATCACTGCCCAACCTGTCTCTTTAATAAGCTGACTTGTCTGCGCAGCACTTAAACTGTGTTCCCTTTCTCCTGTGGGAGCACCCCAAGGTGTAGGCCAGTAGATGCAGAGACTGGTGTGCAGGAGAGATCTGTGAGCCAGCAACCGAAACAGCATGCACAGCACATCAGGATTAAACCAGTGACTGGGAGGAAAGAGTATTCAGGTCTGGGAGAGAGGTGGGTAAGGAAACACAAAGCCTGGGAGTGGAGATTCGGTATGCTGAGATCCCATGGTAATGTTGGAAATATCCAAATAATTGTTGTCAGGATGGTATCTCTGATAAAAGCAGATTTTATTCGCAATTGCAGTTTCAGGCATCCCCTAAAGGCCCTTAAGGCACCCCTAAGGACACAGTGATAGCTTTTTGTACCTTGTTTCCCCCTTTACCCACCCCCCTGCTCTGTTTCCCCATTGGCTGGGTTCTTCAGGTTCATGATCTCATCACAGTTTATATGTCTTAGTTCGGGGGGGGGGGGCGGAGGGGAGTTGATGCCAGGCCTCCTGATGTCTCTTCAGGTGCTTCCATGGGCATGCCATGACTTGTTCTCTGGTTTGATCAATCTCGTGCAGGATCTTCTTGCAATGCGTGTGACCAAATATACATATATACACCTATATACAGACCGTGCATTCCTGGGAAGGTTCGTCTAGAAGATAAGTGATGTAAACTATCCGAGATCTTTCCCAAGTTAAGTAGAAAGACTCCCAGAAACAACTAGGACAGTGGAGATAATGAAATAAAAAAAATATTATCCAATTCTAATGCAGAAACAAATTTGATTCCTACAGTAATATCTGAGGGATCAGGAAGAGTGTGGGGATATGTGTGAGAGGAGTGGGTGACTGCACACATCTGTTGGCCAGCAAACAGCAGGCTGGCCTATCGCAAGCAAAGGAGGAGACCCACATGCTGGGAAAGAGAAGCCAGGCTCCAGGCAGGGATATTGGATGTGCTGAGGACCCCTGCTCACACCGATGGGCTGTGTGACTGTGGGAGTGCTTGTGAAGTTAGTGGGTGAAGGTGTGTGCTTCCACTGGGGAACGGCAGTCCTGATTAGGCAGAAAGGAGGAACAGGGCTTGGCTCTGAGCTTAGGGCTTATAAGAGAAATGGTGTTGTTACCTGTGGGTGTTGCT